AAAAAAAAAAAAAAAAAAAAAAAAAAAAAAACCTTGTAACAGTGTGGCGTGCAAAGACTACCTTTCTTCCAATTACAAGATGAAGTTTACTGAGTTCCTTGATAATGAAGAAAAGTACTAAATAGAGTAAGGAATAAGTCTAAATGCAATTTTACTTCTAGTATTAATAAATAAAATACACTCAAATGAGAAGCACAGTTTTTAATGGTTTCATATGACTGAACCTTCTCTATCAACACAAGGGGATTTGATAGAGCTCAGTGAAAAAGAATTTCATTGGAATTTTCAACTTCAATATTGGGTTCACATAACAGCTCTTAGAACATGAGGAGCAGAGAGCTCAAGATGCTTTTGCTCCACTGCTTCTAAATCTTGTTTAGAAAAGTTTAATTTCATTGTAATTATAATAAACAATCTGGTGAATAATAAATATCCTGAGTCTATGCGTTTCCTGATAATTCAAGAAAAATTTGACATGCCTTTGGTATATCGTAGCAACATAGTGAAAATCATTTAATGATCAACCCAATTGGCTATCTCCTTTGGAGAATGATGATTAGAAAAAAAAATCAAATTATTTAAATGTGAAATCACAGTCATATGTTGGTTACTGCTGATAATGTATAGTCATATCTTAATTATTTGGAGCATATAATAGAAATTTTCCTTTCTCAAAATTATTTGTAAGGAAAAGAGGAAAATGTCTAACAGTGATTTCTCATCCCATTATTTTTATATCAATGCTCTTCAATGAATAAAGGCTTTGAGCCAAACAAATGTGTTCAAATCTACATCTACTATCCGTTTGACACTTGGAAAATTATTTTAACACTCTGATCCTGGTTTCTCATCTGGAAAACAAGAATAATGATATTACCTTCTTTGTTAGGATATTTAAAATATAAAAGAAATAAGATCATGTTTGTAAAATTCTTAACATAATGCCTATCACCTTGTAAGTTTTTAATTAGGTACGTGGGGGTAGGGGGAAGTACAGAAAAATTCCTGAAACATAGCAATAATAAAAATGACAAGAATAATGACACTGCACTATACATTTTACATGGATTATCTCATTTAATTTTAAAATAATAACATAAAGTACTATTGTTATCCCCATTTTACAGATGAGAAGAATGAGACTTACAGGGCTTAGGAAACTTGTTAAGGTCATGCAGCCTATAGAAGGCAGAAGAGGGACTAAATATATAAAGGTAGCAGCAATTATTATATTATTATCTTCACCATCACCGTCATCAACCCATCATGCTATCTCTGTAGCAGACTAGGCTATAAAAATGATTTCTTGGGTACTTCCAAAGATAATTGCCTTCCCTTGGAAGAAATCCAGAACAAGCCCACATTAAGCTAAATTCTGCATTAGAGTGGGCTGTCATACAGTTGGAAGGATTTATTCCAAGCGCCTAGAAGGCACATGAAAGATGAATAGATAGAATTTGTCAGATTTTCTTTTACCTTTAAACATATCCCAATGCAATGAAGGAAAAAAGGATAAAGCCATTTTGTTCACACACAAAGACATTTTTAAACATCATCACAATTGGTACATCTATCTGGTTGTTAGTTCCTAAGAAATCAAACACAGAGCCAAAGATATACATACCTCATGCAAAACATTGTCTGCATTGTTGATGAATGATAAAAATTAAATGAATTTAGTGTAAATGTATGAAACGACAGGAAGAGAATTAAAAATGAAAATCTAGAATTTAGTTGTTTTATAAAGCTGTTTATTCAAGATTACTCGCTCATTATATTTCACATGTCTACCTAACTATCAAAAAAGTTGCAATAATTCCAACATAAATTAATAATGAATGTACATTTTCCTAAAAAATTTTAATGCCATAATTATATCTGTACAATTGTTTTAAACATTCATATTAGAGATAAGCATTAATGATTTGACAGAAACATCATAATATATTATTCAAATGTATCACAGGTAAACAGAATATGATATCAATATAAATATTCTCATAATTTATTCAAAGCGTAAATCAAGTGTAACATATTTTTAACAGTAGGATTTTCTAATAAGCTTAAAATGATGTTTAATTTCTATTTTCGTAATTGTTATCGAGTTAGACATTTAAAGAATGCCATGATTTTTCTTTTGATCTTATTATAACTTTTAAGAATATACACTGTTCATAAAAAACGTAAAAATACTCATAAAAAAATGAAAGAATTAAAAATACTAGTTGTCACTGAAGATTCCATATTCAATTCCATACAGGTGGACTTGATAGATGAAGCCAAAAGCAAGTAGAGTTTTTCATAACAAGAGTCTCAATGGAAAATCACTGGAATATAACATCTGATGACTAGGGAATATACCCAAAGGCTTTAGACTGTTGAGTTTTCACATTACAGTACTAAGCAACCTCCCACATGACAATCACATTCCTCCCATGCTATGTAGAAACGAAATGGAAAGCAAGACCTCACCACCCCCAACTACTTATCAGCAGTTCTCCTTTGACATACCTCAAGTTATACCTCAGGTCAGGATTAGGGATAAAAAAAGTACCCTTCAAGAGGACATATTTCCCTTTTTATTCTATGGTATGCTCTTCCTTGGAGTCTCTGACTAAAACCTGAGCCACCAAGGAAGGAAAATCAATAGCCTTAAGGGAGAGGCACAGAGCACAGGTGGGGAATTTTATTACTCAAGACTCTATATTTTTAAAAGGGGTCATTTATATTTATATACTTTCCGTTGACTAATTATCCCTCTAGTTATGATTGTCTCGATTAGTGTAAATTGTTATAACTACAATCAACACCCAATTGAAACATTTAGGCTGTTAGCAGTTGAGATAGAGTCAGGAATCAGAAAGGGTCTGTTTCAAGCCTTTCATATACCCCTTCCCATATTCACTATGTAAGGTAGAAAGTTACTTTCTTAGTGCCTATGAACATCCAAGTTGAAATCTGTAACTAAGGAGTTCAATGCTTACTTCACTGTAAGAAGTCAGATGTGTAGCCGAAGAAGTCAGATTGTGAGAAGTCGGATGTGTAGCAGAGAGCCTGACTTTTAAGGAGGGGTTATTATAACTACTTCTACAGGACAACATTCTTTACAACTGAGGTTCAGTGGCTTAGTGGCAGGGGAGGAGAACCAGAAGCCTGTCATCTTTCACTAACCTCTGGTTACTTGTCTAAGATCTCCCTCCTCACCTAAAACCACCATTTTCCTCTGAATGCTTTCCTCCTTCCTTACCATATTCTGTAAAACTAGTATAGGCTGGGCGCGGTGGCTCACGCCTGTAATCCTAGAACTTTGGGAGGCCGAGGTGGGTGGATCACCTGAGGTCAGCAGTTCAAGACCAGCCTGGCCATCATGGTGAAACCCCATCTTAAAAAAATTAAAAAAAAAAACTAGTATAGACTTTTATTGCTAATCATGGTATGAATACTTTGGCTTTTTTCAATACATAAATAATCTATAATTGAGATGTTGGAGGAGTTTTCTTGCTGTGTAGGGAAAAGTTCTGCTACATTAAAAAATAATAACACAATACCTATACAGAATGATGAACTATTTACTGGGCTAATTCTAGCATCTCTGTATTTACTGTATGGAAGAGTTCTTTATGGAGAGAAATTAACCAAATGGATGTCTGTCAAAAGAAGCATGCCTATAAATATTATAGTTTGAAAATGTTTATTGAAGTTGTCCATTTATTCTCAGAGGGTTACTATAAGCACCACAAGGACAGAGATCTTGTCTGTTCTTCATTGCTATATCTCAAGCACCGTGAATAGCACCAGTATATAGTGAATGCTCAGTAAACTTTTGTTGAAGGAGTGATGAAAATACCTCATTAAACTCCTGTCCTTCATTAGAAACTTGCAAACAAAGAAAATAAAAACAATCACATTGATTTATCAACAAAAATAATGTTTCTAGCATCTTGTTTAAAAAGGCAGCCTCTGACATGTAGTCCTGGATTTGATTTGAACTGTGTGGCCCTTTATAAATCAATTAATTTTTCTGCACCTCAGTTTTCCTTGCTGTAAAATGGGTGTATGCTACCTCATTGTGTTGTCATTATGATTAAATAAGGTACTGCCTGAGTAAAGAGCCTTCAAATTTCCCGGCATAAAGTAAGCACGCATTAAATGTTGGGTGTTTTTATTAAAACTCGAAATTACACTGAAAAAGGCACTGAGACCCCTGAAATAAATGATAGACTTTTCACAGCCAGTTGGCAAAGCTAGAACTAAACAGCTACACTTCTGTTCAATCTATGAAAAAGCTTATCCTGCCTGCTTATGTCTTTACATATACTTCCTAATATATGTGTATATATGTGTGTGTGTGTGTGTGTATATACATATGCTTTCTAATATATACTTATATATGTAAGTGTATCCATAATATACGCTTTCCAATATGTATTCTATATATACTTACTAGAAATCAACAAAGATGAGTGTGGTTCACTCTCTCTGGCAAAGACTTGAAAAATGCATGATTCTGAGATGCCTGCTAAAAATGAGAAAACCTTGAACCATGCCAAACAAGGCAGTTAATATAACTGCCCTAACCTCAAGTTTAGCACACAGTTGGAAATTTTGTTCTGGAGCATTTGCAAAGACACAGATCCAGGGAAACGGGAATCAAATGCAGCAATTCTGCAAGTGTGTTCAGGATGAATATTATATTCAGTGTCACCGAGCACCTCACTCCCCCCGCCCCCACCCTCGCTGTCTCACCTCCCTCCCTTCGATCCTGCCACTCCCCTCTGCTGGTGCTGGAAGCACCAGGCGGGTGGCTCTCTGAGCTAGCGCGGGGCGGGGGCGGATACGCTTAGCCTGAGCCCAGGGGCCAGGAGCCCGGAGGCAGGTGGAGGCAAGGCGAGGCAGCAAGTGCTGGGTACGGCTCAGCTGGAGCACAGTTTCCCTCCCGGACCAGTTGAGTCAACCTCACGCGTAGACCAAGAGGATCAAAGGACTGGTACGTCACCTGCTGCGCCGGCGCCGCTGCGCGCAGACCAGACGTGCCGGGAGCTGCAGGTGAGTCACTTGCTCTTCCCTCCCGCCCCTACCTCCTCGACCGGAGTCCAACAGGTTGGCTGGAGCAGCGCGGCTCCCAGGGGCCCCGTGGGTACACTTCCAGTCTCACCTGGGCGCTGGCCTCGGCTTCTCCCCTTAACGAGGGAGGCCGTCGTTACTATTTAAATTCCTGCCCCAGCCCACGCTTGTTCTATTCCTTGTCTTTTTGCCTTTCCTTCTAAAATGAGAGCTCCGCGGTGCTCAGAACACCTGCTCTCCGGAAAACTTGCAGGGACAGAAATGGCTAAAAGGAAGGATGCCTCAACAAAGTGCCTCAACACTGGGTGGACACTCGACAGGGTGGGGGCTGACCGTGACACTCCTAGTTCTTAGTGACACACTGGGGCTTCAATAAAAAGTCATCATTAATTATCCTTGTTTCTCAAGCAGGAGGTCAAAACTTAAGGGAGACGGGAGAAGAAAATGGAGCGTCGGTGATCATCAGACTAGAATGAGAGTTAATTGGGAGAAAATGGTGCGGTCCCTTCACCCAGAGCACCCTCCCCCACGTGCTCACACCCCCAGCGAACACCCCCGGGGAGGCCTATGAAGCAGCAGTAAAAGAAGAAGGAGGAATATAAATTCTCAAGTTGGAAGGGACCAGGCTACCATTTCCTCTGCTTTCTGAACTTTTTGTTTTGGTCTCCTGCGGGCAGTAGTGAGTCTCTCCATCCCCCTTGCTTGCTTGCTTTCAGCTAAGAGTCATCTTCTCTCCTCTTCCTCCTCCTCCTCCACCCCACGTCTCCCTCCTTCCTCCCTTCCCCAACCCCTCCACCCACCAAGTAGCGAGTCATTCAATCTGTACACCTCCCAGTCTGGGAATCGCAATTGCGAAGTTGGGAGGCAGAGTGACAACGTTTCGGAAGCGCCACGGCGACCGGCAGTGTGCACAGGGGCTGTGTCAGGCTCGGACCTCACCTGATCCTTGCTCTGAGCGCGACCCTTGCTCTGCTCCCGATCTGTCTCCTCTCTCTGCCACTTGTGCGCTGCTTCCGCGCACTCACAGCTCCCTAGCGGCAGGAGGAGGAAGGCGCACAGCGGGTGGAGAGAGTAGGGGTGCGCCAGGGAGAGGCAACCCCTTCCGGAGCCCGGGGAATCCCGGCCGCCACCGGGGGCCGTGCCACCGCCCTCGCGGAACCAGCGCTTTCGGGGTGTCCCCAACTTTGTGGCGCCCTCAGGCCGCGGCGACTGGGATAGAGATGCCTTCCAGCGGCAGAGCGCTGCTGGACTCGCCGCTGGACTCGCCGCTGGACAGCGGCTCCCTGACCTCCCTGGACTCCAGTGTCTTCTGCAGCGAGGGTGAAGGGGAGCCCTTGGCGCTCGGGGACTGCTTCACGGTCAACGTGGGCGGCAGCCGCTTCGTGCTCTCGCAGCAGGCGCTGTCCTGCTTCCCGCACACGCGCCTTGGCAAGCTGGCCGTGGTGGTGGCTTCCTACCGCCGCCCCGGGGCCCTGGCCGCCGTGCCCAGCCCCCTGGAGCTTTGCGACGATGCCAACCCAGTGGACAATGAGTACTTCTTCGACCGCAGCTCGCAGGCGTTCCGCTACGTCTTGCACTACTACCGCACGGGCCGCCTGCATGTCATGGAGCAGCTGTGCGCGCTCTCCTTCCTGCAGGAGATCCAGTACTGGGGCATCGATGAGCTCAGCATAGATTCCTGCTGCAGGGACAGGTAACCCGGAGTCGCGCGGCGGCTGGGCGGGGAGGCGGGCGAGGCAGAGAAAAAGAGGGAAGCACAGGTAGATTTGAGGCTTTACACCAGCTTCGCTGGAGCCAGGCCTAGTAATAGGTGTGGCCACCTCTGGGCTGACAGGTGGGGTGGGGGTGGGGGACAGAAAAGCGTCAACGCCAACTTTTGAATAGAACTTTTTGAATCTCTTTGTTCACTTTTTTGAGTATGCTAATTTAAGGTATAAGGCAAGGACTTTAGGCCCACAATAAATATTTGGTGACTGAATAAATGAATCAGAAAAGCCATGCTCCAAAAGGTGCATGCATAGGAATGAAAGATTTGGCATGCAGCATTATCATTTATCAAACCTAGATCACTGACTTTGAAGACCTTCAATGGAGAATTGTTTTAAATATAGAAGATAAAATGTTGGTCCCTTGATTGAAGGATTGTGGAACTTGGAGGGAAACTTTGCTCTTACTTAGCTATTACAACCATTTCTTCATGAATACCCTTTCATTACACCCCCCAAAAAATTCCACCTGGCAAACATCTGTTCTTGTTACCAGAAAATGGGTAATAAAATGTATTAATCCAAAGTAGTTTTGTTATGTATAAACTTCTACTTAGAAAGTGTCATTTTAAAAAATTATAATCCAGGCCAGGTGTGGTGGTTCACGCCTGTAATCCCAGGAGTTTGGGAGGCCAAGGCAGGTGGATCACTTGAGGCCAAGAGTTTGAGAGCAGTCTGGGCAACATGGCAAAACGCTGTCTCTAGTAAAAGTAAAAAATTAACTGGGGGTGGTGATGCACACCTCTAATCCCAGCTACTCAGGAGGCTGAGGTAGGTGAGTCACTTGAACCCAGGAAGTGCAGGTTGCAGTGAGCCGAGATTGCTCCGCTGCACTCCAGCCTAGGCAACAGAGCAAGACTCTAAAAAAAAAAAAAAAAAAAAAAAAAAAAAAAAAAAAAAAAAAAAAAAAAAAAAAAAAAAAAAAAAAAAAAAGAAAAGAAAAGAAAGAAAGAAAAACATAATAATCCTAACTAAGAAATTCTGTGGGCAAGAGACAACCTAAGTAAAACATGAATAGACATTTTTCTACATTTTATTGAATGAAAAAGGCTGACCTCCCTGCCCTGTTTAATTATCTTCTACTTCCGTATTTTAATAAAGTTAGACTAATCACCAAATTGTCTTCTCTAAAAGATACTTCAGAAGAAAAGAACTGAGTGAAACTTTAGACTTCAAGAAGGACACAGAAGACCAGGAAAGTCAACATGAGAGTGAACAGGACTTCTCCCAAGGACCTTGTCCCACTGTTCGCCAGAAGCTCTGGAATATCCTGGAGAAACCTGGATCTTCCACAGCTGCCCGTATCTTTGGGGTCATCTCCATTATCTTCGTGGTGGTGTCCATCATTAACATGGCCCTGATGTCAGCTGAGTTAAGCTGGCTGGACCTGCAGCTGCTGGAAATCCTGGAGTATGTGTGCATTAGCTGGTTCACTGGGGAGTTTGTCCTCCGCTTCCTGTGTGTGCGGGACAGATGTCACTTCCTGAGAAAGGTGCCAAACATCATAGACCTCCTTGCCATCTTGCCCTTCTACATCACTCTTCTGGTAGAGAGCCTGAGTGGGAGCCAGACGACGCAGGAGCTGGAGAACGTGGGGCGCATTGTCCAGGTTTTGAGGCTGCTCAGGGCTCTGCGCATGCTAAAGCTGGGCAGACATTCCACAGGTATTCAGATTTCGTTGATGCCTTTTCATTTGCCATTTCATGTAAGCATTTATTATTTGACCACAGTACAAGGAAAGTAATGCTGAACTAATATTCAAAATTACCAACTCCCATACTTTACCTGATCATGACCTCTAAGGAGATATTGGGAAGCAAAACCTTGAAGTTGTTCTCACAGGTATAGAGAAGTGAGCTCTTACATACCTCCTCGTCATAAGAGAAATGTTGAGACACAATTTGACCGTTCGCTAACCTCAGCTTATCTGAAGCCATTGCCCAGAAAATGTCCAAAAATTAAAGGCATGCTGCCTCTTCAAGGTTCTAGACAAAACATGCGTAAATGACATAAAAAGATACACATAAATTATATATGACATTTAGGGACATAAGCCAGTTTCTCTTCTGTGTCCAAGAGGTGCGTGCTACATTTGCTCCTTGGCAGAAGGGAAAGTCAGCCTTTCAGAGCCTTCTCTGAACATACAGAAAGAGAGATAACTAGGTACAGGTGCCCTTTCCAAAATTTTTGAAGAAGCAAAGGAAATATTTTGCTTTGGAAGAAAGCAAATAAACTAATTAAATTCTTGTCTCTAACCTGGGATGCATGAGAGAGGGGAATACAGAGATCCTCTAGTTGTTTCTTTTTGTGCCATAGAGACTTTGAAAATCTAATTAATATTTTCCTAGAAAAGTCTCCATACAACACACATATAAACACATAAGGTACATGAAAATTATAATTAATATCAGCAAAAATCATAGGAACTGATTAAAGATGATTTTTGCATCCCCAGTAGTAGTAGTTATCAGGAGCTGACCCTGCAGCTGTCAGATGTTCTGGAGTACCTATAAGTTTCCTTATGACATACCTTAATGAAAATAAGAATCCCCATACAAGCTTGTTGAAATACAGCTTCTAGATACAACCCCCAGAAAGCTTGATGTTGGATCTAGTAGTATACATTTTTTAAATAGTAAGTTCACCAATGACTTTGATGTGGGTGGTTCTTGGATCACACTTTGAGAAACACTGGAGTGCCATATTAATTTTATGTATGTTGATAAAAACACATATTAGTACAAATAAATTGGCTAGAGATACCTATTCCTAGATTATTTCCATAGGTATGTGCCCAGACCAACCACCTCAAAAAAGGTTGATGATAGCTGTTTCTTGCTATAAATACAGGGTGAAATTAACCTCTGATATTTTTTTTTCAACTTTTCTCTGGTAATTAGAACTTATCATAATATAATTTTGGTAGTGTATTTTCCTAGCTAGTCTCACATACCAGGAATTTGATAATGGGGTTTCCAACAACTCTTACAAGTACCACACTCTGTTTTCTGACACAGATAATGGGATGCTTTCTTCAAGTATTTATAAACTGTTCACAAGACTCAATTTAAAAACTCCCAGTAAATACTACATTTTTTTTGAAAAGAAAGGAAAAGGAAAATAATTTCCACAATGTCACCTCTTCAAATATTTTCTCCATTCTAAAACAAGTATAAAGTTTTAGTAAACTCTTAATTATTAAAAATATGTGAATTACAATATTTGACAATTTTGCCTCAACACTACACTTATTAAAATGTAAACATAGATGGCATACTTCCCCATGTATTAATTATGAATAAAAGTTAAGAAGTGTTATAGAATAACGTGGTTTTGGCTAGACAACTAGATTTAAATCCTGGCTCTGTAGCTTTCTACCAGATAAGCTACCTCTTCATGCCTCAGCTTCCTCATCTGTATAATGGCATAACAATTACCAAGGCCCTTTCATATCCTTTCTTTTAAGTTAACAGAGATAACATGCTACAAATTTGGCCAGCTTTACTTTCCTTATAAATTTTTTTTTAATTTTATTTATTTATTTTTTTATTTTTTTATTTATTTTTATTTTTATTTTTATTTTTTT